AATACAATTTAATACTCAAATTGGCGTGTGTAATTTTTGAAGGATTTTAGCAACCAATTTTGAACACAAGAATATCTATTCTGGTGTTCTAACATTCCCCAAAAAATATTTTACTACTAAAGCACCTTAGCCATGCTTCAGATTCAATTTGTGTTATATGGTTTACAAATACAGTCTTTTATAAGAGCACGGATTTGCAGTCCATCGAAGATAGCTGCTTTTAATTTTTCCGTACTCATCATCATTTTGCTTTTGATCATTTTAGTGATTAGAAAGCTCAATACATATCTTTGGCCCTCCAAATAGAAGCCCTTTACGTCCTGCTTGACTTCAGTATTGCAAAGAGTCTAGGTACACAAGGTTTACGACGATATTGGACACCCAATATTTATTATTTTGTACAATTTTTATCCCAGAGTATGCTTGGTTTGTTATCACAAACTCCGTGATCTTTTTTCTTTGCTTTTGTGTACAATATTTGCCACATATTAATAAAAACTGGTGTTAACACAAGATTACATTACGAACTCACATTTTTAAGACAAAAAGCACTTTAGAACTTAAATTTAGACAAACTGAAAATTTCAAGGTCTAATAGCTGATCAGTAAAATTGTAGTAACTTAATACGTGAAAAGATAATTTTAAAATAAATTCGATGTATCCTCAGTCCTCAGAATCTGAGTGATTAATTAGCATCAATTTATGTGACCGTAATAAATTAAAGAATATAATTATAAATTATAACACTAACATATTAAAGTAATTCACCTTTTGGCTGACTAGTGCGTTTATTCATGAAATAAACAAAGAAAAAAGCCAACCCGAGCCCCGAGCGAACGTTAATAGCCTTAACACGTAGGTATGTCTCTTATTTTATAAATCATTAGTTTATTTGTCGGGAAGTATTTCATAACCACCGCTTTATTTCTTAGCATCGCGATAAAACATTCTATAGGCTCCTAATCAACCAATAGGTATGAAAATTAATACCAAGAAGCAAATTACTTTTATAGGAGAGTTATAAATTTAACTACAAACACCCATCCATGGTCCGCCTAACTAAAGTTAAAGTTATATTTTATAATTTTCTATGATTAACGGGACTTTATCAATGTAATAAAAATGAAAATGTAACATATTATTAGAAATATATGGAATTAATTAGACTTAGCTCACTAACACTTACTTAAAAGTTTGTCACACAAAGGCACAACTCCAAATTGGACCACAGTCGCGGGGGCCGGATTCGACAAATATCGGCATGTCTCTGATTCAGCCCTTCTAGCGGGAAGATAGATGAAAGTATGGAAGGGGCACGAAATGTAGAACTCTTTAATCTGATCATTGTTTTCGATTTCTGTGAAAGCCATCTTGTAGAACTGACGAAAATATGCCTCTCTAGTACAAAAAGTAAAAAACCAAAAATTTTGAGTTGTGCCCCTATATTATTAAGGGTGCGATGTATCTCCATCCATAGAGCGTCTTGTAGTGCAGGGAAAAGTTGAGAGCACCAGACCACGTGGTAGATCACCAATGAGATGGACGGATCAGATCAAACCGCAACTAACTGATCGCGTGTGATCGCGTTGGTTTGACCGAACCTTTCCTATGTCTTCATGTCAAGAAATTAAAACGAGTTGAGTTTTCAACTAATACACTGGTACAGGAAACAACAATAGAATTAATATGCAAATTGGAAAACATGGGTGCAAATGAGGAAAATCACAACCCAATCTGTTTATTCACTGGGCAGCAAAAATTTGTCCTTAGTTGGCCGATAGTTGGGTGGGCCCGATTCTAATTTGTATGAAGAATCGGCCGATACCAATCTCAAGGTTCTGGAGTGGAGGCCGTGAAACCGGTCAACATGGAAATCATTGGGGGAGGCCTATGTTCAGTAGTGGACGTTCTATGACTGAAATGGGGTGTGTAATGTATGATATAACTACATATCATGTAATACTTAGAGGATATAACATCAAATTATATAAAATCGTTTAATATAATAATTATTTACTATAATAAACGAATAATATAATTTTAAAACGAATAATTTTAAGACAAATAACTATTAACTGATATAAAATGGTTTGATATAATGAATATTTTCTATAAAACTTACAATGTATACTATTTAAAACAAATAACATTCAAATCATATAAAAATAAAATGTCGAACAATCAAATGAGATAAAATTCTTTTCCTATAAAACTTAAATCATATAACAATAATAATTTTATATAAAGTTCATTTGTTATAATAAGCATTGCATGCAGCAAGCAAGCAAGCAAGCGAGCAAGCAAGCAAGCTAGCATGCAGGCAAGCAAGCAGGCAAGCAAGCAGGCAAGCAAGCAAGCAAGCAAGCAGGCAAGCAAGCAAGCAAGCAAGCAGGCATGCAGCATGCAAATTTGACTAAAAACTTGAGACTTCTGTCACGGCTCCGGCACTGCGGGGCTCTGGCGGTCCCTCGCGTGCTAATCGTCGCAGATGGCTTTCGCTCGACACCGCGTCTTCGGCTTGCTGGCCGGCTTCGCCGGCCAGCCTCAGCCGCGGCGCCTCGCTTCCAGCCACCTGCTCCTCAGCCCGCGGGCCGCCTCGCCCCTCCGTGCCTACGCGCTTCTAAATTACACTCTAGGGGTAGGGCAGACAAGACTACGTGGAGTCGGTTTTACGGCGATTCGTTTTTGTCACTAAAGTCATTTATAAGTCAAGCTAAAGAAGAACATACTTAAAGTTATATCTATCAGAAATTATATCAATTAAAGAGTATAACAAATAATATTTATTACAAGTAATGGTTATGTGAAATAATATTTATATTAAACAAAATTACATCAAATGAGTCTTAGATTAAGTAAGGTTTATATCAAATGTCTTTATGCGTTGTGATTGGTATCTGAAATGATATTATTAGAAATGATTTATTATATGAAGTAAACATTATATGTTAAAAAATTATATCAAGTGTTATTATAACATACGTTTATTATACAATATAACGTTATTGAAATGAATTTATATCATATAAACTTATATAAACTGTCACGCACCCACTGAAATGATGATGATGATGATGATGACCTCAGATCATAGAAGGATGATGACCCATGCGAAGTCGGGTCCCTAGTGCAGGGTTTCTCAACCATTCGGCTCCATGGACCCTTGTTTTATCAATGTGATGAGTATATTACAGGGTGGAATTTTGTAATGATACCTGGAGGGAAAGTACTCATAATACTGTAGGTAGAAAGTTTTACTGATTTTCCTTAATTTTTGAAAAGAAAGAGAACTGCAAAGATTTTCGAAAATTCTCTACCATACCATACAATTTCCTGTACATACTCGTAACTAAAATGATTTAAGAATTCATGGTTTTCCTTTCATTTGATTTATCAAGTTTGTTAGAGAGATTCCATCCTTACACTTAACGATCGATGAAATAAAAATACAGGGTGTAATTTTTAACAGATTTTAGTTGTTTGGAAATCTTTGAATGCAGTTCTGTTTCTTTTCAAAAATAAAGGAATGTTTTCTTTGAGAAAAAAATTATATCTACAATATTAAGAGTACTTTCCCTCCAATGGTAATACAAAATTCCACCCTGTATATTTCTTGTTGCAAATGGAGTCAATTTTAGGAGTTATTTTGGACAATTCAACCATAATTCCAAGCTGCCACCATTATAAATATTGTCGCGAACCCCCTGCCGTCCAATGGCGAACCCCTATGGGTTTGCGTACCTCACTTTGCGAAACCCTAGTGCAGGGTTTCCCAAACTATGGGTCGCGACCCAGTGCACAGTGGTGGGTCGCGAGCGAACAGAGTGGGCCCTGCCTGTAAATCGACACACCACACTACCGATCCGAGTCCTTTATTTAGGTATATTGGTAACGGTTAAGCACGAGGAACTCTGTGCAGATTCTGCCATACAGAAGAAGAAACGGCCATGCATGTTCTTTGCTCATGCGGCCTGCCTATGAGCAAAAGAAGTATCCATCTCAGGCGACACACATACAGCCGGATTATACAGGGTGGTTATACATATGGAACGATAAGTGATCTCACTCGATTATTTCTAAACTATACAAGATATCGAAAAACTAGTTACTGATTCTGAAAGTGCTTCACGAGCTCTTTCAAATGGTAGCAATAATAGGTTACAGATTATGGAATTTTGTAACTTCTCGTTTCCACCCTGTATAATCCGGCTGTATCTCCAGGTCACCTAGATACATTCCATAGCAGCTGTAATAGACATTTAGGTACATACATTTACCAATTTTGGTGATAATAGGCATTTTGTATTAAAAAAAAAAATATATCTTTGGACAATCTCACACAGCGCCATCTAGCCCCAAAGTAAGCAATTAATATGCTTGTGTTATGGGTGCTAGATTAACGGATATACTACTTATATACTTTTTTTTTAAATACATACATATTTACATAGTAACACCCAGACCCGTCATAGAAATTAAAATTCATCATTTCAATTTCTGCCCGGCCGGGAATCGAACCCGGGACCTCTCGGCATAGTAGTCCGTTCTGAACCACTACACCAAACGGCCGACGATTAGTATTAGTTTTTGTATAACGCCTAAATAAAAACAAAGGGAAATATTTTGGTGTTATAGGTACATAGATTTCGAATATAAAAAATATAATATAATATAACTAATTAAGACATGACAAAAAAACTGAGGTATGTCTCGTTTCTGTCGGGCCTGGGTCACAGATGACCGTTTATCTTTATAGACTCAAGCAGTGAACTCTAAACACAAGGGCTGCCACAATAGATCAAACCTGGTCGAGCTGGCGCAAATGAAGGCCCAAAAAACCAATAATAATAATAATAACGGTTAAATTTCCTATAGGTGGGTCCCGAGTTTGGGAACTTGTATTGGATGAGTCGTAGCTCGTAGCCCAGACAACTTTGGGAACCACTGCCCTAGTGGATGGATAGAAGGATAAATATGCCGGTCTTAAGTTGAAAATACTCAGTCCTTTGAGTTTTCCTTAAGCGAACAGTTCTTCTTAATGTTATTATAGTGGTATTATCTACTCAGCTGTAAGTTTGTAAAATAAAATAAAATTCAGTGAATTCTTGTTAAATACAAGATGAACAATTCAATCGTTGTGATTGCTATTGGTAAGTTTTAAAATGATTTATTTAAAAAACGTACAAGATACTTTTTAAAGAATATTTTTTAAAACTTGTATGGTTTTTGATCTGCACACTGGATGTGTTCTGCCGGTCTGCGGTCAGTGCAAACTGAACGCAGCCCGATTAATTTTATAACAACTTTGTCTGTCTCTATGCATAATATAATACATTTTTTTACAATTTACTTTATTATTCTTCTATGAGATTACAAGTCCCTAGTGGTGGAGGGAAGTCGAACCTTAATTTCGAACTCCTCCTATGTTCTTCTGATTAATTTCCTTGCGGGTCCAATGACAGTTTAACTTTCCCCCGGGACAAACTTGACCTTCATTGGTTGGGTTTTTATGGCGGTCAAGCTGTAGATCCTGGCTACACAGGAGTTGCAATGGTGGGAACGAGAGGTGGGAATAGTCCCGTCAGTGGCGGCGTAGCATTGGTTGGCACCCGGGGCGGTCCGCCCCCACCGCCCCCCCCTTACGCCGCTACTGAGTCCCGTAATTTATTTTATTCTTTCGTTCAAAATTTGAGACTCCTAGCACTTGTAGTTTGTGAGATTTCATGATGAATGAGTGAGTCAGTCAGTGACCTTTCGCTTTGACGGGTCAAAAATTACTACAATTTAGTTTAGTTATACTATGGGAGTCATGTTGTTTATAAATTAAAAAATCATCATCATCTTACCTACCTAACTACTTATTTCCTGTATATTTTCCTTGTTGATGCATAAAAGGCAACTGGGCAAACCAGTATTCTTTAATAGCGACTTTAAAACTAGTCTGTTGGTATTCCGGTGGCAGATGCCCAGTTTTATTGGGACGTCCCGTTGTCCAGGGTTCGGTGTCTATTTTGATTTCAGATATAACAGGGTGAAATATTGCAAACAGTTGCAATTTTTTTAATAAGCTCTATAGAACAGTTATCATCATCATCATCATTTCAGTCATAGGGCGTCCACTGCTGAACATAGGCCTCCCCCAATGCTTTCCACGATGATCAATTGGTAGCAGCCTGCGTCCAGCGCTTCCCTGCTACCTTTACGAACTTATAGAACAGTATATCGCCCATTTGCGACGACACTGTGACATCTCGACATATACGATTTTTTGTTTTACCGAAATTCTGAACTGCGATCTTGCGTTCTTTTATCTCCAAAAACAGGGTATTTGTTACTCCAAAAACAACAATACTATGAGAGAAAGAGACAAAATATTACGTTATAGCGCTGGCTCGTTCGGCGATCTAGTTGGCTTCGACACTGTGACAGTTCAGTTGCCACCTGCGCTTTGAGATGTGAGGTGCTCTTCGTTTTTAAGAAAAACGTGACATCTAGAGGATACCGCGGTATTGATGACAAAGGTAAGTTTTTAAAATATTTTTATTTTATTCGACAATGTGGCACGTCATACTTATCACAGTGTTCTTCTAAAACAAAAAGCAAAATAAAAGAGNCTGTAAAACCACTGTTTTTGATATATCACAGTGTCGTCGCAAATGGATGATATGGACATAACTTTATAATTATTTTTAGTCGTATACCTACCTAGTTAGTATTTTTTCGAAAAAAAATGTATTGTTCTATGAACGAAGTATATTTTATCCACGTGTGTCATTTAGAAATCGCGCGCAGCGGATAGAAATAATGTAAGTAAATATAATAAAAAAAAGTTTTCTTTACGTAAATCGATTATGTCACTGATTCTGAGTCGCTCAAAAAATTCAGCTACTGTTTGCAAAGTCACCCTGTATAATATCTTGTCCATTCATGAAAAATATTTCAAAATTTTAATTACTTTTATTTATTTTCAGCAATCGCAACTCTTCTTTCGTGTGCATTCGCTCAAAATGATCGTAAGTACTAATTTATGTACACTAATATTATAAAAGGAAAAACTCATAAAACTCATTTTATTTCTGTTAGAAAGCCTGGTCTCTGAGCACGTAGAATTTTGTCCAATGACCCCAAGCTACTCATCCTTATCGCTCGCGCATAATTATGTTGCTGTTGCGCTCGCACACTCACTGCAGGCGCCCGTCGCACAGTCGCGACAGCAATATAATTACGCGCGAGCGATAAGGATAGGGGTCAGTAGGAAAGGAAGTAAGGGAGGAGCTTGGGGTCATTGGACAAAATTCTACGTGCTCAGAGACCAGACTATAGTAGGCTTTTAAAAAGCACTTTTACACATCCGAGTAATTAACCCTACTACTGCATCGGGACAATGTTTTTTCCGCAGCCGGGTTACTTTTTAAACTGTTTCTGTTTTTCCCAGGCCTGTGCAAACTGCGTAAAGACCCAAGCGTGACGTACTACTGTGTGGAAGGCGACGGGTCTCGCGTCTGCGAAGAGTCTGTGCCATCGGGGACTGTGGTCCGACCGGAGTGCTCTGCTCCCGTATACTACTACTCGGGAACTTTTCCTTTCATGCGTTGCATTGATGGCAGTTGGGACTACATTGCTAAGTGCCTGCCAGGTAAATTAAGTAATGATTCAAACCAGGGATGTTATGGATATCCGTAACCGTAATCGAAACTTTCGGATATCCGAAATAAAAAAATATCCGAAACCGTAACCGATTCAAAAGTTTCGGATAGTTTCGGATGTAGGCAGTTTAAATTGTTTTTTGCATAGCATTATAACTATCTTAAGGCCTATTTGCAAAAATAAAATGAAAATTCGAGCCTGGAAATCAATCAATTTCGATAGGTTAAACTTTGCTTAGTTTTTGTTTGAAACTAATGGCGCAGCGCGTCATTGCGGGTCCAATGACAATTTCTTCCCCGGGACAAAGACTTTGGTTGTGTTTTTATTGCCGGTCAAGCCGTAGACCCTTGGCTACACAGGAGTTGCAGCGGTGGGAACGACAGGTGGTAGGAAATAGACCCGTAAATGTCCAAAATTATTGTTTTTTTTTTTTCAGAATGTGGAACGCCTTCGCCAATGCCGATACCCCTGGATTCAGGATCCGACAGCCCTGACAGCACTGAGCTGCCCTGGCATGGTGCCGTGTACAAGAAGACCACTACCCCTTATCAGTTCCGCTGTGCAGTTACTTTGGTCACGAAGAAAGTCGTTTTATCAGGTAAATAAGCAAGTGACAGCTAAATTAAGAACGGTATTATCAGTATCAAGCTGAAGTGACAACTGACATTGCGTGATTAGATTAGCAAGCTGAAGGTGGCAATGGGCAGGGCACATAGTACACAGAACTGACGGCCGATGGGGCAGCAAGGTTCTGGAGTGGAGGCCGCGTACCCGAAAACGCAGCGTGGACCAACGACATCATAAAGTTAGCAGGAAGGCGCTAGACGCAGGTCGCTACCAACCAGGTAACATAGAAAGCATTAGGGGAGGCCTATGTTCAGCAGTGGACGTCCTATGGCTGAGATGATGATGATGATGATGATGATGATGAAACATTGCGTGGGACGTCCACCCACAAGGTGGACTGGCGACAGGTAAAAGTTGCAGAAAAGCGCTGGATGCAGGCCGCTGCCAACCGGCCATTCTGAAAATCATGGGGGGAGGCCTATGTCCAGTACATAATCATAGAGCGACTGTTGTTCTGTTACAAGTAATGCTCTAGTCTTACTCGCAAGCTACATTAAAGTGTTTTAAAGAAGTGGTCTTGTAATTTTTGGTAAATGGTGACAATTACCCAATTTTCAGCTGCACATTGTTTCTGGGACGGGGTCAAGGAAACTGCACTGAAGGCTGAGGACTTCGCGGTGGCTGTCGGCAAGACTCACCGGCCTTGGGCCGCCCCAGAAGACCAGCACGCACAGAAATCTGACGTAAGTGTCCCTAATAGCCCTATAATAACCATCAGGTACCGCTTGTCCTGCCCATAAAATATTAAGTTCGTCGTTCGTCTCAGCCAAATGACGTCCACTGCTGGATAAAGGCCTCCCCCAAGGTTTTCCACAATTAACGGTCCTGCGCTGCCCGCATCCAGGCTCTTCCCGCGACCTTCACTAGATCGTCGGTCCACCTAGTGGGAGGCCTGCCCACGCTATATCTTCCAGCCCGTGGTCGCCACTCAAGAACTTTCCTGCCCCAACGGCCATCAGCTCTACGAGCTTTGTGCCCCGCCCACTGCCACTTAATTTTAGCGATACTGCGGGCTATGTCTTTGCGGAAATCCTCGGGGGAGGCCTTTGTCCAGCAGTGGACGTCTTTTCGGCTGAAACGAACGAACGTATGTAGGTATACTATATCGCCACTGCCTGTTTTGAGGCTGAAATGATGATGATGATGATGACCTGCTTTGTTCGGCATTAAAAAACATATTTTCTCAGGTCGCTGAAATAAAACTGCCAGCCCGTTTCCGTGGCGGTGTGACGAACTACCAGGACGACTTGGCAGTGCTGGTGTTGGCCAAGGAGATCACCTTCAGTCCTCATGTTCGACCGGTGTGTCTGGACTTCAACGTAATCTTCGAGCGACAGCAATTAAAAGAAAACTCCCTGGGGAAGGTAATAGCATATCTTTAATACTTCCAAATTATAGCATGTGTCCAGGGTAAAAGTTCAAAGCAGACTTATCTACTCGGAAAGGGATCAACACCGCATCGGCTTTCGCGAGCTGTCAAACGCGATGGTGTTTACGTTACGGTGCGGATAAGAGTGTACGTTGCAGTACTTATGGAGTTTCATACAAAGAATACTGGCCGCCTCGAGTTGATACGGTTACGATCCCTTTCCGGGTTGATAAATGTGCGACGACCCTAAATCAAGAGTTTGAATTAGTAGGTCAGTTAAATTATCAAAAAATAACAGACACGACGTATTTTTTATAACCTACACTTATTCAAATCATTGAAAAGCCGCCAAAGCTCAAACGAGGAGGCCGGTGACGTCAGTGCGTGGTTGGAGCGTAGCACGGCGTAACGTCACGCGAATCTTCAACGCACCTTAACTTACTACTTACTAGAGTACTTTTTTCCAATACTATTAACATATACATCTTCTTTTTGTTTTGTTTTCTTCAGGTCGCCAGTTGGGGTGGAATAAAGCCGAGCAAAACTTACAAAGTCACCGAAATGATGTATTTTCCTATCGAGCAGTGTATCGCTGAATCTCCTCCAGATTTCAGAGAGTTTCTAACTTCAGATAAAATCTGCACTGGATTTACAAATGGTGAGCGATTTTTGCAATTTGGTGAGCAATGGGCAAGAATAGAATAGAATAGAAATCATTTGTTTGTGTAGAACTTACGGCCGATGGGGCAGCAAGGTTCTGGAGTGGATGCCATGTACCGGAAAGCGCAGCGTAGGACGTACACCCACAAGGTGGATCGACGACCTTATAAAAGTAGCGGGAAGGCGCTGGATGCAGGCCGCCACCAATCGGCCATTGTGGAAATCATTGTGGAAAGCAGTGGACGTCCTATGGCTAAAATGATGATGATGATGATGTTATTTATAATGGCTACGTTGACGACAGCGGTCGAGCATGTGGAGAACATGCGGAGTCCATGAAACACCTACTGTGCGAATGCGACGCGCTGCTAGAACTAGACTCCAGAATGGTCTAGTCCATTGGTTCCCAAAGTGGGGGGCGCGCCCCCAGGGGAGGCGCAAAGACCTTTAAAGGAGGGCGCGGGCCATCTGTGTCCTTAAGTATAAAAAACCTGCGAACGCTGAGAGAATGTATTCTAGACTGCACGATACGACCAATAAATAATCTTGACTGGAGGAGGGGGGGCGCGGAATTTTTTGTATGGTCGAAAGGGGGCGCGTATCAAATAAGTTAGGGAACCCCTGGTCTAGTCCCTACCCCAGGATGTTCGGCTGCCGAAGGTTAGGTATCTACCTACCGCTATTTTAAATGATGATACCTACTAATAATAGCACCCCAGGGATGACATGTCAGGTCAGGAATAACTTGTGAGTGTAGCTCGCTTCCAAGTTCTACCTTGTTCTGATCACCAAATGAGATGCAGGCCAAGGAGACATTCCTCGAAGCGCACCTATTTCGAAGCGCACCTAAACTGTTCTTCAAAGCGCACCTATGTTTACCATTAAAAAGATTTTGAACTTTAAGTCTACTAAGATGAATAAAAAGTAGTTACCAGGGCAACATAACATAGGTGGGCTTCGACTCGAAGCCTTCGAGGAACAATAATTTAGATACACTTTAGAGGTGCGCCGCAAAATGGGTGCGCTTCGAGGTATACCTCAGGCCAAGAGCTAACCACCTGTGTGGTCTACTGGTAAGACCACCTGCTTCAGACGCAGAGGTCCCGGGTTCGATTCCCTGTGGGGCCAGATTTTTCTGTTCGGTTTGGTTGGTGGTTCTACCACCAAGGCGGACTTAGAACAAGCCCCACCACCGTGGTAGAGCTGGTTCTAAGTCCGCTTGGCTAGCTTCCACCATCTTACCTAAGTCTGTCGCCATAACAACAATGTTAACAGCATTGTTGTGTTCCGGCAGTTAGAGGTAAGATAGCCAGTTCCTCCGTGGTTGAGGATTCCGGGTGAAGCTCGCTTCCACCTTCGACCTGATCATTACTTACCATCAGGTGAGATACAGGCCAAGAGCTTCCTCGTTGTGGATAAAAATAAATAAAAAAACAGCTTGATCGTTAAAAACCATCTTTTCTTGCTTGCAGGAACCGGCCTGTGCAGAGGTGATGGTGGTGCTGGTCTCTCTTTCCCTTCCATGGAGAGAGGCAGGACACTAGAGATGGGTTATACTAGGTAAATTTGATACTAGGTGCACCTATTCCAAGTATTTATTAATACGTGATCCAAATACCTGTTCCACTTAGTACGTAGTAATTTACCATACTTGACGCGACTAGTGCGGACTAATCCACGTATTATGACTTTAAAATACAATTTTCTTTGAAAAGATCCACTCGTAGTATTAATAATGCAATTTGAAATTGAATAATAATGTTTTTGCTGGTTGTTGATTGATTGATATCCTCCCTTCATACTTCAACAGGCTTAGGACTGTCAACTTAAAAGTTGGCGTATTTAAAAGATATCAATTTTATAAAAATATTTACATATTTTTTTCTATTTTTTATTTATGCAATTATCACGGACGCGTGACAACAAACCAAAACAAACCTGTCGGAAGAATAAAAACTGGTTTTTTACCGGCTAGTCAACAAGGAGTGAGCTGGATGAGAGAGAACAAAAATTAAAATATTCAAAACCTTACCTGTGTACAAATAGAGTTTAAATTACGTAATACATCAAACACCTATTCCTATCTCACACCTGCCTGCGCTCAAATTTGTTTGTCAGACAGAGACGGAGTGAATCGCTACGTTCGCACATAAGCTTAGCGAGAAATACGCAGTGCGCGTAATACACGACTACGGATTATGCAATAATAACCTCTATTACTTTGATGGTAGGGTCGGAAATCGTGTAATTTAAAAAATACTTAGCGAGAAATACGCGGTGTGCGTAATACACGACTACGGATTATGCAATAATAACCTCTATTACTTTGATGGTAGGGTCGGAAATCGTGTAATTTAAAAAATACTAGGTGGATCAAGTATTTTAAAAATTGGAATAGGTGCCACTTAGTACTGTAAAATACCTAGTGTGTGGATCTGTTCTAGTAAATACGTCTCATCTCTACAGGACACGCTACTACCTCCGCGGTTTAGTTTCTACAGCGCCTACTTCATCCGAGGACTTCTTGTGTACAGAGAACTCTTTACAAACGTACACTCAGATCTCTAAGCACGAGCTATTTATTAAGGAAAACATCAACACAGCAAAATAATCAACCCGGAAAGGGATCGTAACCGTATCAACGCGAGGCGGTCAGTATTCTTTGTATGAAACTCCATACTGCAACGCACACTTCCGATCCGTAACGTAAACGCCTCGCGGTTGACAGTTGCGACAACCCTTTTCCGAGTTGATAAGTCTGCTATGATGACTTTAATATTGTTCTGAGTTCTTTTCTTCTTTAATGTATTTTTGATAGTATGTAGATTAAAAAACACACAATAATTTTAAGTAAAATTTCGGGCTACCGTAGTTATTCGCTCTCTCCAATTGGCGCCACTCTTGTAGCTTTTGGGCTGACACTGTGTAGGTTTGATATAATTACGCGCGAGCGATAAGGATGGGTAGCTTGGGGTCATTGGACGAAATTCTACATACTCGGCGACCGGACTTTAGTGACTAAGATAGTGGCGCCAACTGGTGAGCGCTGAAGCGGTGTGAAAGACTATTGTATTTACACTCACTATGATGGCGCCACTGTAGAGTTATCAGTCAGGAATTGTGTAAGGCAATCGTTATCATTTGACAGTTTATAACGTACGATTATTCTGTCAAACGCTTTGTTTATCTGACTTTATCGTACGTTATGAACTATCAAAATTACGATTGCTTTACACAATTCCACCTCAGCCCCCCTAGACAAAACGCACTTTTTGATCGAATCGAAAATCGAATCTGTCAAAACTCCATACAAAAAAGGGGCTTTTCGACCACTTTTCGACTGGTTTGCGATCATAATTTGCACTTTGTTTAGACCCACAGGTCCAGTTATTCGACAGGGGTGCCAAACTGCTAAGTATAAAACGAGAGCTCCTTGGGCATTCAGGCTACAAATGAAAGACTTAATAAGTACTACTAATTAGACTACTGTTGAAAAATGAAAATTGTTTCATAGGTATTTTAATAATAAAAAAATAAATTGCAACATAAAAATCCCATCGGTTGTTTTATTAATCCTTTAGTCACGTTATACCTTTTGAATGACATATTTTTGTTAAAAAAATAATTAAAGGATGGGTGTAATGTGTAATATAAAATAACGTGTAATGTATCACGAATTCTACGTGTGGACGGCACAACGAGCATTACATTTAAAGTGCTGCCCATACTATTTTCATTACATTACACGATACATTCCATTACGCGTTACACCCGTCTGCTTAAGAAGAGAAAGTTTCTCTCCTCCCCACGCTCTCTGTCCATATGGAAAGCTCACTTGCCTTCATGAGTTGCAAGAACTCCGACCAACGTTGGTACCAACTACCAGCATTGGCGGTAACGTGAGGCACTGATAGATAACGTAAACCTAAATGTATTCTTTGATGAAATTCTCATGGCGCGAGATCTGTGTGAAGGTGGTGAGCCAGTTAACATTGCACAGGTGGTCGTCATCGGGAGCGGTGGACGCGATGCCTCTAAGGTAGTACCGGATCGTCCCCTTATCGGATTCGGGGAAGGCCAGCCCGCCACCACTGTCCCCTTTGCATAATGCTGTCCCTGAAAATGAATAAAATATGATGTACTAGCGGCCGCTCACGTGATCAGACCACGTGCAACTTTCCTGCTTTACGATGTCATCGGTCGCAGTACTCCAGAACCTTGCTGCCCCATCGGCCGTCAGTTCTGCGTACGATACGGTTTAAGAATCTCCTCATTTCTGATTCGATCTCGTAAAGAAACGGCATAGCCCTTTCCATAGCACGCTGTGCAACTTTGAGCTTCACTCATCTTCATCATCAACATTATCATCATCTCAGCTACAGGACGTCCACTGCTGAACATAGGCATTCCCAAATGCTTTCCATACTGCCCGGTTGGTAGCGGCCTGCGTCCAGCGCCTTCCTGCTACATTTATGACGTCGTCGGTCCACCTTGCTTGAGTGAGCTTCACTCACCATTTTCATAACCAGCGCAGATTTTGTCTCCAGTGATATACGTCGTGAAGCCAGGAGGGGCCTTCGACTGACATTCCTCGATTGAGACGTAGGGCAGGTGCAATACTTGGAGGGTTGGGGACTCTGGACCATCCGGACCGGTTAAGCCCCAGCCAGCCACCTTTTGGTGTAAGAAAGATAGAAACATTTATTGCTATGAACATCACACAAAGACAAAAAGACAAATAAATGATAAAAAGACAGAGGTAACATAATAATGGTAGAGAAACGCCCGTATTCACAAACGATGCTTGCTTAAGTGAAGCAGCAAATCGAACGCACAGCGTTGAATAGAGTTCTGTGATTGGTTCGTGTCACCCTTTGCGCCCACGCGCGCACTGTGAGACCTCACAGTAATGTTTGTGAATACGAGCAAAAGTGAGCTGAGCAGTGCTACCCTGTCGCACAGCGATGCCCAACGCAATGGGACTCCACACAGCATATGCCGTGGCCCACGGTGAGGAAGGCCACGGCGCTGGTTTTCAGTGTGCCCTATGATGTTGACGTTCTCAAAATTTGTTGTTTCGTGCCCACCCCAGAAATCCTTAGCAGTAGTAATTTTACATACTAAAGCTGGGTTGCACCATCTTGTCAAAAATCTGTCAAACTCCATACAAAAACACCGGTTATCGTAATAGTTACGGTTAGAGTTAGATAAGGGGTATCCTCGGTGACGTTTAGCGTCTCAAAAAAACCCTTTCACGCCGCTCTCATACCTTAGACACTGGCTGAGTAAACGGGACTATTCCCACCTCTCGTTCCCACCGCTGCAACTCCTGTGTAGCCAGGATCTACAGCTTGACCGCCAATAACCCAACCAGTGAAGGTCAAGTTTGTCCCGGGGGAAAGTTTAAACTGCCATTGCACCCGCAACGAAATTAATCAGAAGAACAAGAGTAAATAAAAATGAGTAGGTCATCTTCATAGAAACGCACCGAGCGCGGTTTGTATGTGAGCGCGCGCCAATACTTATGCGGCGCGCACGCACTCACTGACAAAATTCAGCGCACCTCACCGCTAATCCTGCTCATTTGTATTTACTCTGGAAGAACTGAGTTAAGTAGGTAAGCGTTAGACCAAAAGCCATGATAAAAAGTTGTGATTACCTTTCCCAAGCTCTGTTCTTTCAGCTGTCGCTTCTCAAACAACACGCCGAAATCGACGCACACCGGCCGAACATAAATGGAATAGGTTACTGTAGTTTTTAATATGAGTATAGCGATGTCTTCCTGATAGTTTGTGGCTCCACCGAGAAAATGAGGGGGTAGTTTTATGTCTGCAACCTGCAAAGAAGAGCAATGCACACCTTATTCTCTACCATTCTCGTACGTCTTCCTTCTTTTTTTCAAGCAAGAGCTGAAAACCAGTGTTCTGCTCATTTTTAGAGCAGTGTCTACACTGAGCTCTCTGCTTTTTTGCATCGCTGCGGCACACTTACACCTTAGCGCAGGATTTTCTTTTTTATTCCTTGTAATGTACCTACTAGGTATATCTTTCAAATTCAAATTGTTTTATTGTAAAATTTTATTTTTATTTCCTGCTACTCCTGTGTTTATTAATCTTACTTTTTGCTTATTGTGTGTCAATGTGTTTTGCAAATAATCCTTATATCTATCTATCTATCAATGCCTAGGCCCGGTTTTTTGATTCGTAGTTAAAATAACCAATAGTTAAATTTGACAGATGTCAAATGACAAGTGGTTAAATGTTAGGAAAAAATGTTTTTCGAACAATGGTTAGCTTGACTTTAAGTACATTTTTTAACTATTAGTTAACATTTTGTTAATATTTAACCATTAGTCGCAAAATTTAACAATTTGTTATTTAAACTATGAATCAAAAAACTGGGCCTAAGTCTGAGGTATGGGAACGCCTCGGGAGGACATTGACATTTATGACGTGACAGAGCATTATCTCAATGACACCCTCCCGTGCCGCTGCCTTACCTCAGGCACTGACTGAGCGAGACCTAGGTATGGTCTAGTGGCAAGACTACCTGCTCTAGAGACAGACGGCCGAATACTGAAACGCCATTTAAATATTTGACGGCTTCTCAAATAGTTAAGCAGCTCCTAAACTTACATTTCGCATACTCAAAACAATATCTGAGCAGTTCTCAATTTTTAAGCACCTCTCAAATTAAGTTGCACTCAAACGCCACTTAAATGAATTTTCGCATACTGAAACGCCATTCAACGCTAAGCATTACCTACTCAAACAACTGTCAAATCGTCTTATGCAGCTGTTAAATTTGAGAGTGCTTGCGCGGTATCTTAAATCCTATTGTTATACCTAAAACGACCTAAATAGTGGTAAATAATGTGTGTCATCGTTATCATTTCTTTCGAGCCTCGAGAAAATACCTAGATCTAATCGCAGGNTTTTTATATGATAAAACGAAATTTATATATAATAGAAACTAAAAATAAACTGTTCTATGTTAAGTTGATTGAGTATATTTCCATAAAAGACAATACATAACCAAACGATGCTGCGTGTAATGGATAAAAGACGTAAAGTTATCATTTGTGTAAATGAAAACATACTTTTTTTGGTAAATATTGCCATTATGTAAACATTTGAGAGCTGCTTAGCTGATCACGGCTTCAAATCCGTTGAGTAGCGTTTAAGAATACCATTTAAAATTGAAGGATACTTAAATTTAGGAGCCCGTCAGCTGAGTGACAGATTTGAGTAGTGTTTCAGTATTCGGCCGAGAGTTCCCGTGTTCGATTCCCAGTGGGCTAATTTAAAAAAAAAGGGGTTTGGTTGGTGATTTTACCCAAGTATGTTGACATAACATCTTTTCAAGCAGTATGAGTAAGATTTAACCTGTTCTATACCCTTGAAAAGGAAGCTGACAATAGTGACTGATTTTTTTGCGCTCTCGTTTCACCGCCGCAACTTCTGTGTAGCCAGGATCTACAGCTTGACCGCCAATAAAAACCCAACCAGTGAAGGTCACTTACATCAGACTTCTGTACTCTCTTATCTTCTTCCAGCATCCACGGCCGGTATAGCTTGCCCAGCGCCACAGCGTAGTTGCGTGCAGGCTGCTTTTTTCCTATGGTGTTGTTCCAGAAGCAATGGGCGGCTGGAAAATGACATATTCTCGTTATTTTTCACCCAGCCAGCTAACCTAAGCGCTCCTGCACACGACGCCGCTACCACGCCGCCGCCGCGCCGTCGCCGCGCCTTTACACTGTTTATACGCGTGCCTAAGGAGCGTCCACTAATCACATGATGTTTTTTTGATATTTTTTAATCCCCCGAGGTAGGGGCATGTATCACCAAGAGAGAGGCTCTTGGTGATACATGGTGAGGAGTCAGCCGTGAGAGTAGGCAGTTAACTAGTCTATCCTAGTAATTTGGTTCTCTTGCTTTGCTTTCTCAAAATGCGACTCCATATTCCAAAACCTACTTATTTGTGTTCTTTCAAGAGATGCAGGTAATTTTGGTGGTTATTTTGGAACGGGCTCGTATACTTACCATGAGTTTACGTTAGGTGTGCTCGCTAGCGGGAACGTCAAAAAAATCATTTTAGTTCTTTGAACACGTAGACGCTAATGGCGCTATTTTATACAATATGTATTATGTCATACATTTAGGCTGAGGTGCATCATCTTACTCCAACTTTGACGAACGTCAAAAATCTGTCAATCTCCATACAAAAAGCACCAGATATCGTTATAGTTACCGTTAAAGTTAGAGAGTACCTAACGTAAGCTCATGGTAAGCACACTTTATACTGACTGAAATGACAACCCGAAATGACTGACCCGAAATGACAACTTTAGCGCTGACCAGAGACCCGCCGCAGATCTGCCTGTACGGCGTCGAAGTCGTCCTGTAAATTCCGGCGTGCCACGGCAACTCGGCCGTCATCGCCGCCACGCCGCCGGCGCCGGATGTTAGACTGTGTTTAACGGGCACCACGCCGCATTCTGTAAAGTCACGCTAAATAAAAAATTGTATACAAAACATGGTTGACTCCCTTGGTCATCACAGACTGTCATGCAGCAGAAGTGCCGGGAGATTTTCCCGTCACGCCAGCCTCAATGACATCATACGCAGGTCTCTTGCTAGCGCTTCAGTACCGGTAATTCTTGAACCAAATGGCCTGGTTCGAAGTGATGGTAAGAATGTGCGTGTGAACTGAATGATCTTTTCAAAAAACTGGATAAAGACCTCCCCCAAGGATTCCACAACGACCGGTCTTGTGCTGCCTGCACGGGCTGGAAGACGTAGTGTGGGCCGCACTTACTAGGTAGACCGACAATATGGTGAAGGTCGCGCGCCATGTACCTATTATATTGCCCTGAAATAAATAAATAAACTCATACTTTTTATTTTTATTTATTTATTTAGGAAAACCAGGGTTTTACAGTGTGTAATAATGACATAAGATAGGCAACAAGCAAACCACTTATAGGTTCCTACAAGTAAAAAACAATTTAAACAGTTAGTGACATACCTCAAGGTGCTGGATGCAGGCCGCCACCAACTGGCCATTGTGGAAACCATTGGGGGAGGCCTATGTCTATGTTTATCAGTAGACGTCCTAAGGCTGAAATGATGATGAAATAAACAGTGACTGACCTGGAAGGCAGCGAGCCGTGTAGTCCCAGGTGCCCGCTTCGCAGTGCATATACGGTAGGTTCCCGTTGTAATAGTAATTTGGAGCCCGGCAGTCAACCCGGATAACTGTCCCGGTCGGCTCATACTCGCCGCAAGGCCTGAAACCTGGATATTAGACGAGAATCATCATCAGGTCATTTAGACTCCACTGCAAGAGGAACCTGTTAAGGCAAATGGAAGACAAAACCTACACTCCCCACGCTGGCCAGATGGGGTGGGGAGACCTGTTCGCGTATTAATTTCTCTCTTCACTTACGAAACCATAATTATATATTTTAAAAATCCCTTAAGATTGTGGTCTTGCTGCTTTTTTTAATCAGTAAAATGTTTCCCTACTTTTAAAGCCACTTGATAATGTGTGTGATTGGATTGGGTTAATATTAAACATCAAAAGTCAGTCAAACTTCATGCAAAAAACACTGGTAACCCAGCGGTGGATATTTATTACAGACTTAAAAAAAGTTGGTGCAACTTAATCTTAATACTATGAAATAAAAATTAATTCTGTGTCCTACAGGCAGCGGGCCCTTTCATTTCGATCGACATCGTCACAGTATAGATTCCTAAACTAAGTTTACTAACCTTCAGAAGTGCCAGCCAGCAGACAGCGGTAAGTCACGCTCTGGTCTTTGTTGAGTCTGCAGAACTCTGTTCCGTGAAAGACATTGTTTTAACGCATTATATTAACGTGATAATAACAACACAAACAACACAGGTCCGAAAATCGTTCCCAGAGGAACCCCCGCAATATCTTTGTTCACTTATCATTTGGATACTTACGAACGCAATCTCCCACTTCAGGTGACCAGGCGCCTTCCAAACATACCCTTTCTGTTTTGTCACCGATGATACTGTAGCCAGGGTGACACGTGACGTTGTAGGCTACGCTAGGGAAGGCTTGACCAGGAACCGCGTTAGGTTTGCCGATGACAACGTAACTGCCGTGGTCTGGGTATGGTGGTAGTACACAGGCGCCACCTGGTGCGGGACTGAGGAAGAAAATAGAAAGAAAGAGAGGAATAGCTTTATATTTTTTTTCTTTCTTACACAGAACAAATTAATGCTTTTATTTTATATTGCTTACTAAACCTATAAGTGACGGATAATTACGATTTCTCACATGTTTTTCATTGTATATATTGCTTGTGTAGTCATAAAAGTACTTTCTAGTTTTGTGCCAAGATTTTGTATTTGAAAAAAAAAATTTGGCGTTGATGGTATGTTCATGGTATCGACGAAAACGCGCCCCACCAATTTTTGGTCGAGGCACACGAGAGAAGCGTGGGGTGCGGGGAGTTTGATCCGAGTAATCCGAGCGTCATTATTGTAGTATGCGTGTACACTCATGGATAATTTTAGCGTGTACCGATAACACTCAAACATTAGCGAAAGAATGGTGGGGCGCGTCTTCGTGGATGAAACGATCTATACTCACGTGGAGTTTGGATGCCAAATTCTGTTGCACAACTCGTCCGATTCATCGGAACCATCCACACAGTCTTGTTTCTGAAACATTTTAGAAGTTTTTATTTGTAATAATATTATGTGATCAGGTAAGAATAGAAGAAGTAAAATAGAAGTAAGAATCAGTACAAGAGGTATTTAAAGATTTATACATAAGTAGTGATGACACTATTCCCCCCCCCCCTGATGTGAGAGTGTGGTCCCCCCTCAATAACCTAAAATGCTTACCCCATTACAATCCGCGCCCGGGTCGACGCAGGCGCCATACGCGCACTGAAACAGATGAGTGCTGCAGATGTTGCCAGCGCATGCGCGCACTGTCTCGTCCGACCCGTCGCCGCAGTCGCTGATGCCGTCGCAGAGAAGATACGCCGCTATCTTCTGCCCGTTCTGGCAGTGGAATTTACCTCCGCTGCAAATTCAAAGTGGATTGGCCACACTTTCCGAAGGGATCCCGATCACATCCCCAAGCAGGCTCTGGATTGGAACCCCCAAGGAAAACGCAAACGTGGTCGCCCCAAGCAAACTTGGCGGCGCACTGTGGCAGACAAGGCGAAGAAGATCGGCAAGACCGAACGCGCTGGAGGACTGTGGTGGACGCTCTCTGCCCCATCTAGGGGACATAGGACCATAAGTCAAGTAAGTCAAGCAAATTCAGTCAATTTATTTCCAACATTTTGATTTGGCTTACAGTGACAGAAACACGTGACAAATCTACTTTAAATAAATTAACGTAATAATCGGTGAATTGGCTCCGGTCCTACGTCTTCCGACTCGTAGTCACCATTCGAACTCGAGAACTTTTCTGCCCCAGCGACCATCAGCTCTGCGAGCTATGTGCCTCGCCCACTGCCACTTGAATTTAGTGCTCTGCGGGCTATGTCAGTCACTTGGTTCTCCTGCGGATCTCCTCATTTCTGATTCGATCACGCAGGCATAGCACGCTCCATCGTCCTTTGGGTGACATGAGCCTTCTTATGAGGCCCATTAGTAAGCGACCAACTTCGATAAAGAGGTCAATCGTCGAAATGATGACGAGAAAATAAAAAAAACCTTACCTAACCGCAGTTTCGTTGCGGCAAATGGGCAGGAGCTCGTCAGAATTGTCAGTGCACTCCTTGAGTCCGTTGCAGGGTGCCCTGCTGTCTACGCATGCGCCGTAAGTGCAGCGGAACCAGCTGGAATCGCAGCTGAAGAAGAAATCCAAATTTTAGGCACAGCTACATAAGATGAGCTACACGTCCCAAATAAAGCTTGCCCTACCACTGGCTGGTGCTAGGAAGAAATGGCGGTAGAAACTCAGTCACTCAATTCAACTATTAATAATTGGGTATCTTTGACACTAAGTTAATCAAGAAATCCAAGACACATTAAAAATTATGTTGTGTTCTTCTGTAAAACACACCCTGAAAACAAGCGCAGATGCGTGTGGCGGACGACTGGACGGGGCTTTGTGTATTATCTACGCACACAAGGACAATGCGTACCCAACCGGTCTGGTGCGGTCTGCGATCGCGATCGAACGTCGAGTCTTTCGTCATCGTAGTGCGCACTCGCTAAAATAATGTTTTGTACATCTGAAAGTGTTGTGAATGCTTATACTAAAACGTTTGTTTTTATTTGTATAGAGAACAATAGTGTCTAGACAAACCTAAAGAGGATTTAGGACTCTATTTGGATCAAATATGTAATTGCTCAATAATGAATAATAAATAAAAAAAAATAAAAAAAATGAGTTAAGTTTTCAATTATTTGCTGTAGAATTCGATTTTTTGTTGCCAGTTGGGTATGACACTAGTGAAGACGAAGGCCAAGATGCTGGTTTTCAGTGTGCCCCAATTTCAACACGCTTTTATAAGGCGTCGTGTATGTAACTAACTATGTAATGGAATCTAAGAATCTGAATTACACCCACTTCTAATTCTTGTATCATCATGATACTTTACAACTATAATGTATGTAGATTAGATGACAATACAATATTATGGTACCAGTGCCGTAACTAGCCTTTTATGCGCCCGGTGCGAGCTTTCAAAACTGCGCCCTTGAAAAATGCTCTTGTCAGAAATTACCACAAATATAAAAAAATGTAACTTTTTCAATAAAAAGTAACCTTCTACGGGTGCGGAGCGATTGTGTAAGGTTGTTCATGGATGGAAAATGAATACAATTGATCATCAATCATTTACCTAAATTCGAAATTTTGACCATTCCATAAAGACCGAAAAGTGACCGGTCGTATAAAAACGTTTCATGGATTTGCGTTTCACTATCGAAAAACATTGGCTAAAACTCATTTTTTATAACAAATAATAAATCAAATTCATGTTTAAATGCAGTTTATGACATAATTTTTAAATTGTCACTATTAATATTTTTTACTGAATAACCTGTAAAAGTTAATTCTACAATTTCTGAAAAATCACCTAAACGTAACCTTTTCATTAGTGTAACCTTTTTTTTTTTAAACACTAAAAGTAACCAATGCAGTTCAAAAGTAACCTCAAAGGTTACAAAAGTAACCTTCTGGCAACACTGCGGCTATCTGAATGCGTGATTCTCGATGTTTCGGGGAATCCCCGAACATTTGGTGGGACGGCGCGGCAGAATGGAACGTTTGTAAATCGTTTAGTTTTGTAAGTCATCCTTTTCACTCTTGTCGAACGATAAATTTTCTATCTATCTCTCGCACGCTAGTGCGTCAGTTACGCCGCACGTAGTTAATGAATAAAATCAAAGATAGAGGGAGGACCAATGAATGTGGCTGACAGCAATGACAGCGTAACGTGAACTATATGTACAGTCGCGGAATGAAAAGGTTCGTCAGTTTTCAAATTGATTCCTTCAACGAATCGCGAGCACATATTACCTTTTGAAACTATGTTACAGAATAATCTCGAGTTAGAGAAAATAATCTTTAACTGTTCGTCAGTAAAGTTCAAAATTATTCAGATCAAAGTCGATTTATCTTGTCAAGAACATTATTATNTCATCTCTAATTATTATGATTGATAAACTAAATAAAACCTTCTTGTTGGGTCAACCTGCCATTGTTATTTTTATATAAAAAAAACTACATTTTGTAACATTGCACTGATGGGATAGAAAAATAAACAAGCAAAACCTTATTCATCAGCAAACGTCATATTTATTTAAATGTTAGCAGCTCTGTTTCTTGCACTGTTATGTTGGCAGGTTTGACTCTTACAGTAGCTAGTGCAAGCGAAAACCGACACTAAGGTGACGAACCTTTTCATTCTGCGACTGTACATCTCCTCAGCTAGATTGTCAGATTTGCTTAGAACTTCTAAGTTAGAAGTGGCGCCCTCCAAATGAATATAGACAGAAATTGTCTCATAGTTACGGTATAGGTACTTTTGTTTGTGTATGTAATATTGCGAGCAAGACAAGGTGGATTTATATTTGTCTGATGTGTCGTGACGTGACGCGTCAGAACTGTATCGGTTCCATACATAAGCCATCACAACACAACACGTTACGCACTAGTGTGAACGTTACCATCCTACTAATATTATAAACGCGAAAGTTTGTATGGATGATGGATGGATGTTTGTTACTCTTTCACGCAAAAATTACTGAATGGATTTTAATGAAACTTTACAATAATATAGCTTATACATCAGAATAATACATAGGCTACAATTTATAAACATATTGTTCGAAATACTAATCCTGCGCAGACGAAGTCGCGGGCACCAGCTAGTACTAAATGTATGAAACCGATACCGTTCTGACGCGTCGTCACGTCACGACACATCAAACAAATATAAAACCACCTTTACAAGTGTTGTTGTTTCAAGATCGCTTGAAAAATGCCATATAGATCAATAGATATAGATAGTACAGAGGGCGCGTCTACACCATCGTTCGTTTCAGCCAAATGACGTCCACTGCTGGACAAAGGCCTCCTCCAAGGTTTTCCACAATGCACGGTCCTGCGTCTACACCATATCTTCTTCTATATATATAAAAATGAAACCCGTTTCGCGTTGTCACGGCATCACGTGTGAACGGCTGAATCGATTTCGATAATTCTTTTTTTTAAATGTTTGTGGAAGTCCAAGGATGGTTCTTACGGAAAAAAATATTAAGCAAATCTCTACGCTAAGGCGGTACGAAGTTCGCCGGGTCAGCTAGTTCGCAATAAAACAAAATGTACCTACTAACTACCATGCATGAAACAAAACTAGATACTGGTCGGGTCATTTCTGCGCCCCTCCAGGGTCTGCGCCCTGTGCCTGGGCACCGCTGGCAGTCTGGCACCGCCCTAGTTATGGTACCATAATGGTACCATTGAACTGGTCTAATGATGGGACTGGAAGGTGGCCATAGGAACTCCTAAATGAAGCTGCGAAAACTCATCGAGTTTGGGGTCTCTGGATTTGTCTTTTCGAGCACTTAAGTGCTAGATGATGTCCAGTGTCCTGATGATGAAGTCAGGAGGTAGCCATAGGAACTTCTTTTTGGCCTTTTAGTGCAGTAATTAAAAGCGTGTTTTTAGTTTTTTTTTTATTATAATTTATTTGCCTTATTAGACCACTATGAGAAGAAAGAAGAAGCTACTTACATGGTGTTTCTACACAAAGGGAAGGTTTCATCGCTGCCGTCTGGACAGTCGCGGATCCCGTCACATTTCCCGTAGAAATCTATGCACGTCCCGTAACGGCACTGCCACTCGTTTTTGCTGGAAAAGTCATTAAATATTTTCAGAAATTGTGGCGATAGTTCTAAGAGGGTGAATGCAGGCCAGTTTTTGAAACCAACCGGCCATTGTGGGATTACAATGAAGTAAGAATAGGGATATCACCTGCTTTATTGGTATGCATACGGTTGGTGATGTAGGTATGTAACAGTGATGTTCTTAAACTCGTATTTTACAAAAAATGTAACTAAAAAAAGACAGAGGTAACACATAAAACTTAACAATGGAAAAGAAAGTGAAGTGAGCAGTGCCACCCTGTCGCAACAGCGATGGCCATCGCAATGGGACACCACTCAGCATATGCCGTGCCGCGGCCCACGGTGAGGAAGGCCACGACACTGGTAAGAGCCTAAAAAAAGGACGGGTTCAGAACTCACCTGCATCCCGCTTGTCTTTTCCATCGTCCCAAAACATCACGCTTAACCCGGGTCCTACGGATAAGATAAAAAATCGAAAATCATATATTTTGCTTAGTGTTATGATCGACCAGAAACCAGTAGCATAAGGTACTTACGAAAAGGCTTTGGTCTTGTTATTGCATCTAGTTGAAGCTTCTGCATCATCAGCACAGTCTTCCACGCCGGTGCAGAGAGCCGAGCGATCTACGCATGCGCCGTAGTGGCATCTGTACGCGTTGGGTGGACACCTGAAATTGGTTTGATCGATTAATTAATAGCTGCATCATCATGATTGTCTTGCTCTTATCCATAGAAAATTTCAAACTATGTATTTGCGCTAGAGGCAAACTCTCATAGGAAAAGGATTTTCAGTTTTTTTAGCACATAAAAAATATTGAAATAAAGCCGTTCTAGAGTTTTTTTTACAAGACTAGAATATTTACAGTAGAGTATTAGACACAAACGAAAGTTTCTTCGAGGTAACTGCCAGACCAGCTTTTGGGTAACCAGTTGCTGTTAACTAAGCCTAAAGCTTCAACCAAACCAACGCGTGCAGATCGCCAATGACAGGAAACGCGTCCTGTCATTGGTCGTGCGTCCTGTCATTGGCACGCATTGGTTTGGTTAAAGCTTAAATAAGTAACTATCTAAGATCTTTCAAAAATTTACGTGCCCCCAGTAAGGCATCGTCTCTACATTCATCCCTCGGTTAAGTTCGCTGATTAAGAACGCTACTTTTTAACTTTCTAGAATTTCAAAATAGTTTTCTATGCCTAAGAAACTAATTCTTACTTATTATAATGGGAAATGGATTCTCCTCCAGCCTACTTACTGATTCCCGCTGCACAGCTCTACCGTCTCGTCGCTAGCGTCGGGGCAGTCCCTGGTACCGTCGCATTTGCCTTTAATGTTGATGCAGAGTCCGTTTTTACACTGCCATTCATTCTTGCTGAAAACAACATTATTTAAATTGGATTTTGATATTTCGGCGTTTTGCTTTTCTCGATGATATCGTCACGGCGACTAAGGGAATATGCGAACATAAGGCCTCCCCAAAGTGTCTGATTATCGTGGGGAGTGTAGGCCAAATCCTCTATTTTGCCTTAAATTAGAGAGGGACGTGCTCCTGCAGAAAATATTAAATGACCTGATGATAATGATGATTTTTTTTTATCCACAACGAGGAAGCTCTTGGCCTATATCTCACCTGATGGTAAGTGACGATCAAGTCGAAGGTGGAAGCGAGCTTCACCCGGAATCTTCAACCACGGAGGAACTGGCTATCTTACCTCTAACTGCCGGAACACAACAATGCTGTTAACATGGTTGTTATGGCGACAGACCTAGGCTAGATGGTGGTAGCTAGCCAGCCGGACTTAGAACAAGCCCTACCACCAACCAAACCGAACAGAAAAATCTGCCCCCACTGGGAATCGAACCCGGGACCTCTGCGTCTGAAGCAGGTGGTCTTACCACTAGACCACAGACGCGGCTTCATGATGAATGTGAAAAAGAACAACCTAGTGCAAGTCGGCACTATTCCACTGCTGGACAACGACTAGTCCCTCGCTACCGCGCTTTCCGCAACCTCTACCAAGATCGTCGGTCCACCAATGAGTGAGAGGCCTATACTACGTTGGAAAACGTCTTCAGGTATACGGTCGTTGTGGAAATCCTTGGGAGAAACCGTCCAGCAGTGGACGTCCTTTGGTTGGATTTGGGTTGTATGGGAAACGCAGCGTGGTACGTCCACCCAGAAAGACCGACGACGTCATAAAGGTAGCAGGAAGGCGCTGCAAGCAGATCGCTACAAACCGGGTGATGTGGAAATCATTGGACCTATGTTCATCAGTGAACGTCCTGTGGCTTACATGATGATGATGATGATGATGATGACGTTGTTACAAATAGACGATGATTTTTACCTGCATGGTGATTGTGCTGCATTCACCGTCAAACACGAGGCTAAACAGGAAAAAATTGTATAGTTAATTGAAGTATTGGAGTACGGGACTATTCCCACCTCTCGTTCCCACCGCTGCAACTCCTGTGTAGCCAGGATCTACTGCTTGACCGCAATAAAAACCCAACCAGTGAAGGTCAAGTTTGTCCCGGGGGAAAGTTAAACTGTCATTCGACCCGCAACGAAATTAATCAGAAAAATATAGGAGTTCGAAGGTTCAAACTGCTCTCCAGTTCAAGCGAATGACAGGTGAAAAAATAATGGTATTTAATGGTTACCTAATTACGAGTAATATAACTAAATTGTTGTTTAAAATTTAAAAGCGGGTAATGTTTAAAATGTTTGAAAACCTATGATCAGACTAAAGCCCGGTCTGCGAGCACGTAGAATTTTGTCCAATGACCCCAAGCTACCCACCAACCTTAATTATATTGCTGTCGCGACTGTGCGACGGGCGCCCGCAGTGAGTGTGCGAGCGCGACAGCAACGCGCGCCATATTGCAGCGCGCGAGCAATATGGATGGGTAGCTTGGGGTCATTGGACAAAATTCTACGTGCTCGCAGACTAGACTATAGTAATACTTATTAAAGTACAAAGCACATGCAATTTTGACTTTTATTGTTGTGATCCCAATAAAAGCAAAAGTAATTAAGCCAAATTAATACTTCCTTGCAGAAATTAAGTTAAGTACGTAATACCTAAAAACTACGTCTTAAACAGGAAAAAATATACTTACTTAATGAAGTATTGGAGTAGTAAGATAAAATGTGAAGACAATTTGCAATTATACAGGAAAATTAATACCTACTTAGCTAATAAAACATAATTAATTATTTGTGGCAAACAAACAACAACAAAGTGGACCAAAGACATTATAAACGCCGCATAATACAGGGTGTCCCAAAATTTGCACGTCACACTGACACTGAAGGTAAGACGCATCGAACAACTTAATTATGTCCATAGAAAAGATTCATAAGTTTTATGATAGATGACAATAATATCCTACTTTGAATTTTCGCGCGTTAGTTAAGATACATTTTACCTTATAGGGCTTAGTCTTCAATTATTATCATAAATCATTATTTTCATACCTTCAAGTAAATTTTAGTCTTGAGACAAAATTATTCAATAGAAAAAAGCAAATAAGTAATTTGATTTATTTTTCGATTTTCACCTAAGAACGAGTAATAGAGCCGTTTAAAAAAATAAATTATCATACAAGTGACTAACTAAATTACATAATAAACCAACTTACCGCAAAATATGAGGAAAAAGTAAAGATTTAACATTATCACAAAGAATTAAACAAGGGTTCAACGCATCACTAATTAAAACAAAACCAAAACGCGATTGTAGTTAAATTGTCATTTTGATACAAAATGACCTCAGCGTCTGTGCGAGACGAGAAACCCGTCTTCACTGAGCAATGTACTATAGTTTTTATGTTTATTTCTCAAACCTGTATTTAATTGTTTCTATTTCCAGCTATTTATGCCTACAATGATGTGAGATTAATGCCCGTATTCACAAACATTACCTACTATGAGGTCTCATAGTGCGCGTGAACGCACAGGGTGACACATGAACCGATCACAGAGCTCTATTCAACGCTGTGCGTTCGATTTGCTGCTTCACTAAAGCAAGCATCGTTTGTGGATACGGGCGATAGTTTGTTCCGGCGTTTCTTCTCAGCACTTGCGTTTGTTTCGAAGCGCTGGTAGGGCCTAAAAGATAAGGAGACAAAAGAGCCCCTTAAGAGCTAATTGGTCCAGTCTATAAACTGAATAAATTATGTTTGATTTTGATTGCAAATAAAATTGGAGCTTGAATTAGACTTCTTCTTCTTATTCGTTACGCTCTTGGCAGAGTAGTCGTGGTCACGTTGAGGCGTTGTTCACATCGGTTGTAGAGGCGGATACAACTCTCCGCACGATCTCCCGCCATCTCTCTCTGTTGGCAGACTGTCTGGTGCAGTCACATACGCCGTGGGTAAGACGCTAGCAGTTTAAAAATAATACAAGCCATTTTCCTGTGATGCGGATTTCGAAACGCGTACGGAAGGTCCGAATAGGACAAAGATTTCGTATTGACAGCGTCAATCCGCGTTCCGCATGCGTGTAGCCCGTGTAATAGGAAAAACGTGTAAGAAATAATGAAATGCAGACCAGATCCGCACGCGTGCCAAAAATCCGCATCAAAAAGGCGCTAAAGGCTAACTGTAACATCTTTATAAATATTATGGAAGCAATAAAGAATCGAGCATTGTGTTCGAGCGCGACTTCAGTACGTTTTCTTTTCAGTATTTATCAAACCGCGTTGCCGATAGGGCGCGCCGCCCTCCATTCTGTAAACGCGGGAAACTTTACGTTACTTTGTTCAGTTTTGTAGTTATCATGAACGTTTGTTAGATATAAAAATATAGGTTTCTAATATAAAAATAACTAAAAAAAAATCACGTCTGCTGAAAATATTAAAGTTATATGGATTTTTAAAGTTTACTGGAAAAGTTATTAAAATAATGTTACAGTAGGTACTTTTATAATAATGTGAGAAACATTTTATGACTTTTATAATAATAAGTTATTAATGTGTGTAGTTAATAACATAGGTTAATATATTTAAGAAGATAGATCGCTAGCAGGTAAGAAAATAAATAAATTTTCATTGCACAAATTCTTTTGCGTTGCATGTTATGTAGTTTGTCACAGATCGCCATAAATTATAGCTATTCTGGGTCATAATCAACAATACTGTAAAGTTTCATCAAAATCCGTTTCGTAGTTTTTGCGTGAAAGAGTAACATTACATGTTAACATCCAGACATCCATACAAACTTTCACATTTATAGGTAATATTAGTATATCGATTTTTTGTGGGAAACTGGATCCTGCAAAAAACGGGATGTCTCTGTGTGAACAAAAAGCCCTGATAAAATAAAAAATATTATGATAGCAATGGCCGAAACGCCACACAGGCATTCTTGAATAATAAAACGCGAACGCGGATTGGATTTCCTTGATTAATTAATTAACAAAATCATGAGCTTGATCACGCCGCAGCTTTATTGAAAGCTATTTTTAGTTTTCATTAACTTAAAGGGTGGATTTAGTAATGCCACCTGGAGGGAAAGTACTGTAGATAAATAATTGTACTCAAAGAAAGATTTTCAAAAAATTGCTTGTCACACCCGGGAATCCAACCATGTCATCTCATCTCATCATCAGGGAATATGATAACCCTGTATTTTTATGGCATCGATCGTTAGGGTTAAGTATGAGGATGAAATCTCTCTAACAAACTTGATAAATCAAATGAAAGGAAAACCATGAAATCTTAAATTTTATTATTATAATTATTTACAGAAAATCGTAAATTTATTATTTTTTTTAATATGCAATAAAGAATTTGAATTAGTAAAACAGTTCTCTTTTTTTTTTCAATATTATAGGAATGTTTAACTTTCTGGTCAGCTGATTGATTATCTGGAAGAGAATGCCACATGGCATTAAGCGCGCCTGTTGTACCACTATTTATTATGTGTGCAATAAAGATTTTAAATAAATAAATGTTTTCTTTGAGTAAAATTTTCTGTCTACAGTATTAAGAGTACTTTCCCTCCAGGTGGCATTACAAACTTCTACCCTGTATAATAGAAAATCTTTATAATATAACAATAATTTATTTACAAACCCAAACTGGCTATGTATAATCAAGAATATTAATAATTATTATTTATCAAACGTTTTTTCTATACGAGCCTCCTTTCTTTATGCGAGCTCTTTCCATTAAGATACTGGCATGAAGTGCAAGAAAAAATCATGAAATGCCGTGGCGGAAAATTAAAAAGATTTTAACTTTTTTTTAATGGCTGTCTGTCAAAATATTTTCTTGAAAAGCAACCAGGATTTTTCTAAGTAAACACATACAAAACCTCTTTTTAATTAATTAAATCTGGCATGTTGCCCATGGAAAATTGTGAAATGCCACGAACGAAATTAAAAAGATTCCACTTTTTTATTTTAAATGGCTGTCTGTCAAATTATTTTTACATAAACTGCCAGGAATTCTAAAATAATGTGACCTATTTTGGAATTAATTAAATTACATAAATGCATGCATTATTTTTATTTTTTGCTTCTTCTTATCTTACTGAATCAATGTCAAAATGCCTAGCTTTTTTGTTTTGCTTTTTTGTTTTTCTTTCTAAAAATTTCTAAAAACGTCTATTTTGTAATTAGCTATTATTAGACATGTAAAGTCCTCCTGGAAGCCAGTTGGTAGTTCCCTTGGGAACGTTGGCGTGTGTCATCTATAATGCAAGGTCTGCAGTTACGGGGCTATGACCGCTTGTGTTTTAATATTTCTGTGAATTCAACTGTGTTTAGTATGTACGCTAAAGTTTTCTATGAAGTATTTTGTATACAAGAGTCGTGAAAAGTACAATACACACAAGTGGTCCTATTATTTAAAATTAAAAGGCCAAAAGGGTAAAATTAAAAGTCTAGTCTATTATTATTTGCAGTATTTTTAGAAGCTACTGATTTATTTATTGGTAATGAGCTACAAATACTATAAATCAAGGGTCTAATCCAATCTAACACCAAAAATATTCTTGAAATTTTTTGTATAATTAATAAGTAATATGATAATAATAATATAATGAGTGTAAGTCGATTTTTATATTTTTTTAATTAATTTTGGTGGTACTGAACTAAAAGTACTTAAGCAAGTAGGTAATTTAAATGAAGTTGTAGGATTTTATAAAGAGATCAAAAGCTCCCCGAATAACCGAGTGCTGTTTTTCTATGTGCCTGGATATTCGTCGTAAGTCGTCTGTCTAGTTGTAATAAAGAAAAAAAAATCCTATGACCTTAATATCAAACAAAAATAAACGACTGTCGATCACATAACTCGAAATCAAACCTAAAAACAACCATTGATTTAACGTCAAATACACAAACTTCTAAAATTACTCATATTCACTGACCCAATTGCTGTGACCTTGCCATGTCGTATCCAGGCCATAGTTTGTCAATTGTCATGGTGTTTGTACCATCCATCATGGAGACAATGCCGGTTCAACAGTTTTGAAGCCCGTTTTCCACCGCAAGCGGAGCGAGCAAAGAAATAAAGAAACATTTATTACGATGAACATTACTAAGGACAAGAAAGGTAGATGGAAAAAAGACAGAAATAAATAAATGAATAAATAAATATCCTTGGACATTTTATACTACGCTTCAGTCCCTAACTAAGCAAAGCTTTTACTATGGGTACTAGACAACGTTTAAATAGCACATTTAAACATTACAAGGAAAGAAAAAGTGAACTGAGCAGTGCCACCCTGTCGCAACAGCGATGCCCATCGCAATGGGACTCCACTCAGCAATACTCAGCATATGCCGTGGCCCCCGGTGAGGAAGGCCACGACCCTGATTTTAATGCGCCCCATGCCGAGTGGAAGTCACAGACACTAACCTATACTGCATAAAATACATAGATATTGCTTGAATAATACAAATAACTCTGTTGACCTTGCAATACAAAAATGCATACCTACGTACGAGATCTGTTTACACGAACAGAGTTGAGCGAAAATGACAAAGAGGGCAAAAAGAGTAAAATGAGTTCGCTCCTCAAATCAATACCTACTCCCGAACTCTTGCTCGGTGGAAAAGCAATCCTATTTTATGTACATGAAGACCTCCGCTAGGCATTCCTGTTCATACCTCTTTGGCGATGGAAAACGGGCTTGAATAACGTTAGTTATAAATTGCGTGCTGTTTAGGAATTTATACAAATCTAGCTGTGCCCGCGACTTTGTACGCGTGAAAATTGTTTGAATATTTTTTGCCGTTTTCGCAACATTTACTATTGGTCGTATCGTGAAGGTTCTAGCATATTAGCCAAACCAATACAATAATGAATACAAAAGCGAATAAGGCTTTAGGCTATTTATCATCACCCTATAGAGCCAATAGGGGCAGAGTAGTAAAGGAAAATGTTGCAAAAACATGAAACATTATTCAAACTAATTATCACGCGTGCAAAGTAGCGGCACGTGGCACAGCTAGAATGAAAAAAAAAATTGAAAGTCGGATATTTATATATCAATATCAATATCAATATCGATATCAATCTTCCTACATTTGATAAGTGTTAATAAAACTAGGAAATAGCAATAAAAGTTCAGAAGAAAACGCATTATTGAAATAGAGCAAGGAAAGTTTTAATGAATTAATTAAAACTTTATCGTTTTCATTGAATGGGGGCCTACTTTCACACTGGTTTCGAACCATTATTTTTTTCAGAAATAAAAACACTAATCTCGATTAGAGAAACTTTTCGTTGGTTGTATTAATAGAGACCTAATTTCAGACTACCTGGCTGGTTAGAAACTTCTAAACGATATTTTTGCAGAAATAAAATGCGATTCTCAATTTTTTTATTTCAATAGGTAGGTACTGTAAGGGCCCTCGCCCACGGCGACTTTAAGTAGCGATGCAGTGGCGCTGTTGTAGCGCGTTATTAGCGCTTTGGCATCACTTTAGTGCGTTGCAAATGCGACTAACGCGCGTTAGTAGCAAAATTTAGTAAAAAAAGTCGCCGTGGGCGAGGGCCTTTAAAAGGGAATAGCAAAAGTTTGTTTCATTAGAAAAAAAATAACTTGTTGGATGGAATCTTAATCTGATTACGACAGTGGATTTTTGCTTTCCAAAATGTAACTAAATAGAGAGTAACTTTACGTGGCGTTGTCTGTAAGTACTTAAATATTTTCATGATTAAAAGTGACTGAAATTTTATTTTCAGCTACAATGGACGAGAAAACTAGCAGGACCTCCAAGATTGCAGCCGCAATTCTTATGGTTATCAACTTAATTATAATGGTACGTACGATTTAGTGAGTTTTTGTGAGAGTTTGTGGGTTTTAGTTTTGTGAATTGATTGTTGACTTTGGAAGCAATTTCCATTTGCAGCAAAATAAATTTAAATAAATATACTCATAGGTGATTGACTGACTGACTGATATAGTGATCTATCAACGCACAGCCCAAACCACTTGCACTGGACGGATCGGGCTGAAATTCGGCATGCAGGTATTTGTGGAAATACTTTGTGCTGGCTCGTAAAACCTCGTACAGAAGCTTCTATAAAATTTGAAGGCGAAATTCGCGAGGTCAGACATTGAAGGCAACACACCACCGACCTTCGGCCAGGGCGAGTCCTTGGCTGCGTACGATTACATTCTCTATTATTGATGTGGATTCGGACTTGAAAAGTTCAAGATCAATTGAAAATAAACGTCAATAACCCTCCTTCTGGCGCAGTCGGGTAAAAAGCAGTATTAAAAGTGATTTTGACTGATATTAGTGGCCAAAAATCCCTATGTAAATGCGAAATATAATAAAAGTGCGAAAGTAGGTCTGTCTGTCACGCTTATTTTTTTTTTTTTTATCTTTGGCATAGAGGGTTTACTTGAGTCCCGTGAAAGGACATAGGATAGTTTTATCCCGGTTTTTAAAACAGGGACGCGCGCGATAAATTTTTCTGTGACTGACAAAATTTCACGCGGGCGAAGCCGCGGGCAAAAGCTAGTTAAATATAGTAAAATTTTTTGTTCTATTCTATTCTAAAGTACCAAATTTTGTTACAGATATTCTGCACCTTACTGTTCGCGTTCAGTCTATGGATGATAGCCTCTCCATCATCACTCTCTACTGCAATACAGTTCACCGGGAGCCCCACTGTCATGGTGAGAACTTGTAGGATTCTGCACATTTTACTAGCAAAAATACCTTTGTTTTGTCACCTGTCATCCGCTTTGCACTGGAGAGACTCCTCCTATGTTCTTCTGATTAATTTCGTTGCGGGTCCAATGACAGTTTTAACTTTCCCCCGGACAAACTTGACCTTCACTGGTTGGGTTATGGCGGTCAAGCTGTAGATCCTGGCTACACAGGACTTGCAGCGGTGGTAACGAGAGGTGGGAATAGTCCCGTGGTGTATGCTATAGAGCGTAACCTATTTTACTTATAGTTTACAAAGAAAATCGAAGCGAAGCAACCTCCCTAGACAAGTTTTAAACATCACAGTAGTCATTTCGAAACCGCTTCGCTCAGGCGTTTTCACTTCGCTCCGTGAATCAATTTCGTTTTGTAACATGTCTACAGGCTGAGCTATTAACTTAAAAGTCCATAATTATTATAAAAGCTCTCATCGATGCGCCCAATAGATGACCGAACTATTACAAAATATCATTACCCCAAAACAAATAATAGCTAAACGCTGTAACAGATACGGTATCACGTGAAATTTGGGACAGCACGGGAACAATAAGCGACCTGGTTGTGAAGTTAATGGGTTTTGGCTTGTCATGCATGGTGGTAGAGAATCAAGTACCCCATAGGAGAAAAGTTCGTTCGTTTCAGCCGAAAGACGTTCACTGCTGGACCAAGGCTTTCCAGGGATTTCTACAAAGACCGGACCTGCGCCGCCCGCATCCAGGCACCTCACGCGACATTCACCAGATCGTCGGTCCACCTAGTCGGTGTTGGCGGTCTAATTAAGAGTTTTTAGGAGTACAGAATTTATCATGAACTTTTTTGTTAGGTTTCATCAAATTAGGTTCTGACAGCATCTAGCTCCGCGTTTTATTTTTATTTGAGGTGGTGCGATGCCGTCCGTTCGCTATAAGTAAAATCCGATAACCCGGGTGCATGTCACCACCCGGTACGACCGGGTCAGGTGACGTCACGCGATTGCTATGTATGTCAAACGGGGCATTTTGCACGCTGTCTTCAGTTGTTAGAAAATGATCTACCTTATAACCTTTGTGGTCTAGTGGTAAGACAGGACTGAAGCAGGTGTCAGACGCAGAGGTCCCGGGTTCGATTCCCAGTGGGGGCAGATTTTTCTGTTCGGTTTGGTTGGTGGTAGGGCTCGTTCTAAGTCCTCCTGGCTAGCTACCGCCATCTTACCTAAGTCTGTCGCCATAACAACAATGTTAACAGCATTGTTGTGTTCCGGCAGTTAGAGGTAAGATAGCCAGTTCCTCCGTGGTTGAGGATTCCGGGTGAAGCTCGCTTCCACCTTCAGCCTGATCGTCACTTACCATCAGGTGAGATACAGGCCAAGAGCTTCCTCGTTGTTGATAAAAAAAAATCTTATTTTAAGGTTTGAATAAATAGATTCCATCTATAACATAGATTCTGTTCTAAATTAAATCTAAATATTGAAATTCGACTAATCAAAAGCATCAATTTAGACTACTTATATTATTATTAGGTCTAGCGAAACCAAAGAATGCTATCGGGATCATATCCTAAGAATAAAACTAACTATTCTGTATTTTCCCTGGGCCTCATCATTCATTTAGTTAAACGAGAAAGGTAACCCGTAGAGTACTTACTTAAGTATGTATAGATGGATTAATTCATCTATCTAATAACAATCTATTAAATATGCCCTTTTTATCGTAACACAGATCTTGCATGTTGTATGATATGATACACACGTGTCCATGCCGTGACATGCAGCCCATGGGGCGGGTTATTAAATTACACAAGTCAACAAAAAAAAACTTTTTTTTTGAGTTTGTTATTTTATTGATATTTTCTGATTGTCTACATCTAAAAGTACCCAGAGGCTCTATGCATTGCAAATAAAGTTTGCTTTTGTGCATTTTACAATGAAAAAGTTAAAGCTGGTATTTTCGTCAGTCCATAAATTAAAAAAATAATGGCCAGTGAAAAATTCCCAGAGTAACTGAACGCCCACGAAAAACAATCGTGGCTCAGTCTTAAAGCAGTAATCCATGGATTTCTTGGCTATAAAAAAGCTGCAAACTATAAAGATCTAATTTCTAATATGCTTAATAGTTTCAAACTCATGGGTTGCAGAATGTCCCTTAAAGTACATAATATGCTAGATGCTCACTTAGAAGAGTTTAAAGATAACTTAGGCCCAGAACAGACGGTAAAACGCAACTGCAATGAAACTGCAACTTTCTGATGAATGAAACTGAAAGTTTCAAACTGGTCGCGTCATGTGTGGTCTCTCTACGGACGCTATGGCAGAAACTTAGATGGAACTCCAAAGTAACTAGCAGTTTCAGTTTCGTTGCAGTTGCGTTTCACCGTCTGTTCTGGGCCTTAGAAGGAGATTCAGAAGAGCAAGGAGAACGGTTTCATCAAGATGTGATGAATTTTGAACAACATTATCAAGGACAATATAATGAAAACATGATGGGTGACATTTGGAGTCTAATACGTGAAAGTTCCTACATAAACAGAAGAAAAACAAAAAAAAATCTTCATTTTTAAAGCTTCTTTCTGTTTCATTTTTGACGTTTATCTTTATTGTTCTTTGTAAATAAAAGTGATTAACACATAAATTAAAGTTAGGTATATCTCTTGTTTACGCATTTGATTGAATTAGAATTAGTTATTCGATTTTCTTAAAATTTGAAATTTCGTTCTACATAGTTGCTACAAAAGCAAACTTTATTAGATAAAAGTATTTTTTCCTAGTTTAGTTAGACAAAATTAATCAAAATCAGCACTACAGAACTCAGACTCAAAAATCGTGTTTACTTGTGTTATTATAGCTACGAGGAAGTAGTTTGAGGGGTATTGTTTCACCCTTTGTTCAAATATGAAGAGACTAATCAACATCAAATAGTTCATGATATCCAAAGTAGCCAAAAAGTATTTAACACGTCTGTGTTGTCAACTTTCTGGCCACTTTGGTTGTCACGAAATATTTGAAGCTGACTGTACATACGTGTAAGTTCAAAAGATACAAAGCCTGTGCAGTGACTAGAATACTGACCGGCCACTGCAAACTAAACAAACATAAATCGAACATGAACATGACCGAGGAAACTCTGTGCAGATTCTGCCATACAGAAGAAGAAACGGCCATGCGTGTTCTTTGCTCATGCGGCCCGCTTATGAGCAAAAGAAGTATCCATCTCGGGCGACACATCATGCACCCGGATGAGATAGCAGATATCACGCTCCAAAGAATCTGGAAATTTATAGACTCAACGGGACTAAGCAGTGAACTCTAAAGACAAGGGCTGCCACAATAGATCAAACCTGGTCGAGTTGGCGCAAATAAAGGCCCAAAAACCAATAATAATAATAATAATACATACGATGGCACTTTAAGCTGAACATGGTGTCGGTCTACTGATTCGAGGATTGCAAGTTGAATCCTCAAAGACTTAATGGGATATTTTTGTAAATCATCATTTTAGCCACAGGACGTCCACTGCTGAACATAGGCCTCCGCCAATTATTTCCATATTGCCCAGTTGGTAGCGGCCTACATCCAGCTCCATCTTGCTACCTTTTATGAGGAGGTTAAGTTTGTTCCTGGAGAAAGTTAAACCACAGTTAAATTGTCATCATCAGGGCTACGTCTACTAAAAGTAAAGTTCCTGAAAAAATATTAGTTAATTATTTTATTCCTATGTTACAGGCGCTGCTAGAACCAGAAGTGTTGACAGTCCAACTTGGGGTTGCCATAGCAGTGCTGGCCACATTCCTCTTCTTTATATCTTTCATGGGATTCTATGGGGCCCTTACCAAGTCACAGTTCTTGCTTTTTATGGTAAGACGTTTGTTAAAAAGAAAAGTAGGTACCTAGGTACTTATCTTTGTAGAAGGATGTTGCTTTATAATTTATTTTCATTTATTTTCTATTTCTTTGTTATTCTCTATGAAAGAAGAATATTTCTTTAATAGTCTTTAAATCTTTTTCTCTTTTGTTTTTTTATTTTCTTAGTCTTTTTAAAAGAAGGGTGTCGCTTAAAAGTTTTTTTTTTCTTTCTTTACACTTGTTTATGCCAGATTTTGAATTTAAAACTGTATTTTTTTCTGGTTTATGCTGCATTTACAGTACGCAACACTGGTGCTGCTTCTACTCTTGCTAGAATGTGCTCTGCTCTTCTACTTCTCTTCTGGTTTGATGGAGGTCAGTCAAATATTTTCACCATCAGGTCATTTAGTCCCTCTCTAATTTATGCAAATGGAGGATTAGGCCTTCACTCCCTACGATTATTATTATTATTATTATTGGTTTTGGGCCTTCATTTGCGCCAGCTCGACCAGGTTTGATCTATTGTGGCAGCCCTTGTCTTTAGAGTTCACTGCTTAGTCCCGTTGAGTCTATAAATTTCCAGATTCTTTGGAGCGTGATATTTGCTATCTCATCCGGGTGCATGATGTGTCGCCCGAGATGGATACTTCTTTTGCTCATAAGCGGGCCGCATGAGCAAAGAACATGCATGGCCGTTTCTTCTTCTGTATGGCAGAATCTGCACAGAGTTTCCTCGGTCATGTTCATATTTGATTTGTGTTTGTTTAGTTTGCAGTGGCCGGTTAGTATTCTAGTCACTGCACAGGCTTTGTATCTTTTGAACTTTAGCAGTTCCTTAGTTACTCCCTACGATGCTATGGTCAGACTGGTTTGAGAGGCTTGACGTTCGTATATTAACAGTCTAGCGTTTAACAGTCAGTGCCGTGGTGCTTGAGAAAGTAAAATACGGCCACCCCCACTCTTCTCGATTGGCTTCTAAAAGGCGATTATTACAAACTAGCGGCCGCCCGCGACTTCGTACGCGTGGATCCCGTTTTACCCCCTTAGGGGTGGAGTTTCGTAAAATCCTTTCTTAGCGGATGCCTACGTCATAACATCTACCTGCATGCCAAATTTCAGCTCGTAGTTCCAGTGGTTTGGGCTGTGCGTTGATAGATCACTATGTCAGTCAGTCAGTCAGTCACCTTTGAGTTAGTTATTTAGATGTGAATACGTCTGGCCAGCGTGGGGAGTGTAGGCCAAATCCTCCATTTCATCATCATCATCATCATCATTTCAGCCATAGGACGTCCACTGCTGAACATAGGCCTCCCGTAATGCTTTCCACGTTGATCGATTGGTAGCGGCCTGCGTCCAGCGCTTCCCTGCTACCTTTACGATGTTGTCGGTCCACCTTGTAGGTGGATGTACCACGCAGCGTTTTCCGGTACGCGGCCTCCACTCCAGAACCTTGCTGCCCCATCGGCCGTCAGTTCTGCGTATTATGTGCCCTGCCCATTGCCACTTCAGCTTGCTAATCCTCCATTTGCCTATGGTAAATTAGAGAGCCCAGGGTACCTAACTAAATGACCTAATGAATTTTTCGTTCTTCTAGAAAGGTGTTCGCAAAGAAGACGGCCAGTGGTCCCACGCCATTCGACTCGCTTTGACATGCTGTGAGCACAACAACACGTGAGTATTATTATTCTGTAAAATCCCAACTTCCCAATATCCCAATAATATTATAAATGCGAAAGTAACTCTGTCTGTCTGTCTGTCTGTCTGTCTGTCTGTCTGTTACGCTTTCTCGCTTAAACCTCGCAACCGATTTTGATGAAATTTGGCATAGAGATAGTTTGAGTCCCGGGAAAGAACATAGGATAGTTTTTATCCCGGTTTTTGAAACAGGGACGCGCGCGATAAAGTTTTTCTGTGACAGACAAAATTCCACGCGAGCGAAGCCGCGGGCGGAAAGCTAGTAAATAATAACTTAACTACAACCTGGTTGAGTTAACTGCGCATCTGGCGGCCGTGACGTCACATCACTCTGGTACGGACGGGGCGAGCGCGGGGAGGTGTGCGGGTGAGTGCGAGGGAGAGTCGCATTCCAACGAGGTGCGCAGTTAGCTCAATACTCAATACTCAATAGTTTATCGGGTTGTAGCTTTTTTGCGCCTGTGTAAATTTCTATCGACAAAAAATACACTTTATTTTACCCTAAAAAGTAGTTTTTTGATGAGTTTTTTTTCTTTTGATGCTTTAAAAGTGTTAATTTATTTTTTGTAAAATGATTGATTTCTCGTACAAACATAAGACTTTCAACACCTATCGCCTATTGCTGGACAAAAGCCCCCCAAAGCTTCGGTACTATTTAGTAAGGGTCCTTTTCAGCACAGTCCACACGGTCCACAGCAGTTCAGTTTTGCTGGATCTCAAAACTGTGTGAATGTTTAGTAAAAAACCTAAACTTACCTACCATTAAACGGGATCCTTCAAAAAACGGGATGTCGCTGTGAGAAAGTGCGTCTTTTCGTAAACTGCCTTAATATTTTATACTTCCAGGTCTCCAGAAATTGATAGACCGCCTTGGTCCTGCTGTGGTCCAGGAGGGTACCCTAACAACTGCACTTCTAGTAATATTTACAAAAAGGTAAGAATAAAGCTCATGCAGACTTATCAACTCGGAAATGGATCAACACCGTATCGCCTTTCGCGCGCTGAAAATCGCGAGGCGAGGCGTTTACGTTACGGTGCGGATAAGTGTGCGTTGCAGTATGGAGTTTCATACAAAGAATAGGTACTGACCGCCTCCAGTTGATACGATCCCTTTCCGGGTTGATTAGTGTGCGACGTCTTTTAGAATATAATTATAGTAAGCGACCACGTCTCACCATCACCATATACCATCTCTGACAACACACACTGGTCAAAGACTTTTGTCTTGAGACACTGCGGTATTTCGACTCATAAGAAGGCTCAAGGTCTCTCAAAGGGGGATGGATTCCACGCTACGTCTTCCGGCTCGTGGTCGCCACTCGAGAACTTTTCTGCCCCAGCGGCCATCATCTCTGCGAGCTATGAGCCCTTCACACTGCTACTTAATTCTCCTGAGATCCGCAGGAGATTCCTCATTTCTGATTTGATCGCGCAGGAAAACTCCAAGCTTAGCACGCTCCATCGCCCTTTAATTGAGCTTGAGTTCTTATGAAGCCCATAGTAGGCGACCACGTCCCAGATAGTGGGCTATGTCGGTCACTTTGGTTCTCCTGCGGATCTCCTCATTTCTGATTAGATGACGCAGGGAAAAATCGCCCTTGTGCCTTCTCATGAGGCCCATAGTAAGCGACCACGTCTCAAATCCATATACCATCACTGGCAACACTGGTCAAAGACAACTGTCAAAAATTCAAAACCTCTTCCAGAACTGCCACGAAGCAATATCCTCGTGGCTGCAGAGGTACCAAACGGCAATATACGCGCTGCTGGCCGCAACTCACTTGATACTGGCGTCCTGCTCTCTCATACGGCGGCGCCGCAGTGCGTCCCGCTTCCTCAGCTAGCGGTCGCAGCGCCGCGTCGGCGGCGGTGAGTGGAATTGGAACTAGATTTTTTACTGATATTTCGCTTGGAAGTACAATATGACAATACCCTGTATTTATGTAAAAAAAATATTTTTTTCCAGCGCCACCAGATCGACCGGTTTCGCCAAGGAAGAGATCGTGGCACTTATCCCGAGTCTCCCCCGAGGGCGGTTCGGATGACGTACTAATGGTAGTGTTAGGTCGGGGGAGGTTGGGGTGGGTGGAACAAAAATCATAAGAGATCTTAGTTCAAGGTGGACCGACGACCTCATAAAGGTTGCGGGAAGGCGCTGGATGCAGGCCGCTACCAACCGGGCAATATGCAAATCATTGGGGGAGGCCTATGTAGGCCTGAGATGATGATGGTGATGGATGAAGGGGATTGAGTTGACTATTTTCTGATCTGATCTTATCAGGAATCGAACTAGTTGCTAGTCATTATTTTTTAATCTGATAGGTGTAAAATTATGTAAAAAATTAGCTTACATAGTTCAAGCTCAATGACATTACGTAGACCACTAAAAATACTTAGAAGAAATTAACATAAGAATTGCTTTTCTACCAGAGGCGGCGTAAGGCGTAGGCGACGTGGGCCACCGCCTACGGCCTCGCGGTACAAGGGGCCTCGCGCATCAAAAATTTTGAAAAAATGTATACAAGGAGGAGATGACAATATCACAATACGAACATTGACTATTAAATATAAATTCTTGATAATTAAACAATGTAGTTAAAAATAAAAATATATTTTTTTCCAAACAAATTCAGCCATAATCAGACACAAAATTAAGCAACAACACGGTTTTAAGTGACGAACATTATTCTTTGGCGCAATATTCCTTTAAAAATAATCACTGAATCAAGAAATCAGAAACTGTCAATGTATAGACCTTTGACCCTTTTTTTTTATTATTTCATTATATATAAATCCGTCTTCAGGTCGCCACAGAACAAGGCCTCGCGAAATCTGTCTTGCCCACATCATAGGTCTTGCCCCGCCTCTGTTTTCTACTCACTGCCTTTGTAATAAATATTTCTTATTAAATGATCTTGTATGAATTGTTTTATTTTATTGTTTCTTTACGACATTATATCAGATGAGGAGATCCGTAAACGAACTAAGGTCGCTAACATAGCCCGACGGATTAGCAAGCTGACGTGGCAATGGGCAGGGCACATAGTACGCACAACTGACGGCCGATGGGGCAGCAAGGTTCTGGAGTGGAGGCCGCGTACCGGCAAGTGCAGCGAGACTTCCACCCACAATGTGGACAGACGACCTCATAGGTTGCAAGAAGGCGCTGGATGCAGGCCGCTACCAACCGACCAATCTGGAAATCATTGGGGGAGGCCTATGTTCAGCAGTGGACATCTTGTAGTTGCCGGAAGAAACAAATTTAAAATTCAATCGGGTGACTTGGTCCGTGGACCAACCTAAAATTGGACCCCTCCCTGGCCTCGATTACCCTTCTTTACAATTACCCTATTATTTCCCAAGGTAATACGCGACATGTCCATTATGTTGACCACTGATACTCGGTATTGGGCATTATGTCATTACACATTTAAGCCTCCCCTACATACAGTCCTTAGGGCTAGGGATGTATCTGTATATTGCCACTGATGTCGACAATATGCCGAGAAAGTTCCTAGTAGCGAATCTGGAAATTCTGGAATCCTTTTTGCACGTAGGTTGATGTACAAGTGGCGGAGAAATGCCGGGAGGAATTCTCTACCAGTCAACATCAGGTAGGTAGAGAAAGTATAAACCTAAATAATTCCAAGCATGTGACTCGACTAACAATATCAAAGTAGGATATTACCTAGGCCTCGATTGCGCTAAAAATTTCAACTGCAACGAGCGATTGGACTACGAACGAAACGGGACTATTCCCACATCTCGTTCCCACCACTGCAACTCCTGTGTAGCCAGGATCTACAGCTTGACCGCCACAAAAACCCAACCAATGAAGGTCAAGTTTGTCCCGGGGGAAAGTTAAACTGACTACGAACGAAAATCAGCTACAGACAAATCCGTATCACGATATAGTTTTGACTGCTAGTTCAAACGACACTTAAAAGTAAACTAAGGGCATACTGCGCCTTTACGTAAAAGCTGACAGAAAGCTACTTTTTCTCAAACGCAAGTCAAACCTTCACAAACATTTTGCTGTGTTAGTAATTTTAGTTTAAAAAATAAGGTATTCGGAATTTTAATGGAAAGTGCATAATCTGATGTTTCATCTTTGTTAGCGCGTGAACTTCATCGTGATACCGAATTGCATATCAGCTGGAATGAGAATGGAGTGCAAGTCGCACGCTACTGGAGATGAAACGCGAATGAATTAGAGACATTACTAATTAGCGCAATTGGGGTCCTGGACACTTGCGGCCTTGCGGGTGTCACGCATGGGGGACAATACCACGTTCATGATGAAATCCACACGATATTAAAAACGCCAGTATTGTTTCCGGCAACAGCACATCACTACCCTCTCCCGGTGTACAATATTAGTGGTTGGTCACGCCACGGTTCTTGAACTGGGTCACTGCATACAATCGATTGTTAGAAAATTAGGTTACCCACTGCAAAATACACCTACAGTATGAAGAAACAAGGGAGTGATATCTAGAGTAAAGATTGTTTTTTGAAGGTAAATAGGCTCCGACTCTGCTGGACTGATTTGAAAAATTCTTTCATCATTAGAATCCTACATTATTTTAGACGAACATAGGCAGTATGAAGTTCGCCGGGACAGCTAAGTAATGGTCAAAAAATCTTCTCCCAAAGTGGTGGTAGGGCACTTTGGGACGTGGTAAGTTCCTTAAATTGAAGCAGGTATCACTTTAATAAAAATACCTTAGATTCAGGTAGGTTTCGGGTGAGCGAGCTGTTTATAATTCGGAAACAAACTTTATCCTCATAGCACAGGATGTGAAACTGGTTTGCAAAAAATCGATGCATAATTCGAGTATTCTTTTAGTATTATACAACAAAATTACTGTTGTTATTACCCGGTTTCTGAACCTCAATTTTTTGCTTTAGCATGCTTATCTTCTAATATCAAGTAGGTAGGTACTAGCGGCCGCCCGCGACTTTGTACGCGTGGACCCCGTTTTACCCCCTTAGGGGTTGAATTTTGCAAAATCCCGTCTTAATGAGCCCTCCATCGCGTTCGGTCTTGAGCTTCGCGCTAGATCTCGCTACAGGTCTTGCCGATTTTCTTCGCCTAGTCTGCTACAGTGCTAAAGCCAGCTGATTTCCAGTGTCCTGGATCTATTTGTATCTATAACTAGCTTTCCACCCGCGGCTACGCCCGACTCAGCAATAATGTGGCTTTCTATTGGTGAAAGAATTTTTAAAATCTACTAATCTTTATTTTTTTACGTTTCAAGTGTTTCTTAGAGATTTTAATGGTAGCTTTTGGTAAACTTTTTGATGCCACTAACTTATTGCTTACTTTTTTAGCTGTCGAACGAACTCACTTTTATACTTAGATATAGGTCCTGTACATCGGTAGATTTTGCTAAATAAATGAATCCACCCGGACTCAGATAATAAAAAAATTAACTTGTTTTATTCTAGTGGATTTGTCGATAAAATTGATCATATTACTGCGCCCTAACGGGTCGGACACTGGTGACCGGACACACTGTATAAATAAAGACTAGAGTAAAAAGTTGTAGTTTAATAAACTTGCCTAACTCGTCTGGTCAGCATAGGGCTGGAATCCTATAATTATCTCTGGTAATGACAGAGGGCCGTGCTCCTGTAGTGAACTTCAGTGAAGACTAACGCCCGTATTCACAAACATTACTATGAGGTCTCACAGTGCGCGTGGACGCACAGGGTCACACGCGAACCAATCACAGAGCTCCATTCAACGCTGTGCGTTCGATTTGCTGCTTCTTTTACAAAGCATCGTTTGGAATACGGGCGTTTAATGACGTCATGATTAAGATGATGAAGTTTGATCCTGACGTCATTAGGGTTTTTACCGCCTCTGTGGTCTCCCGGGTTGATTCCCAGTGGGGGCAGATTTTTGTGTTGGCGGTTTGGTTGGTGGTAGGGCTTGTTCTAAGTACGCCTGGCTAGCTACCACCATCTTACCTAAGTCTGTCGCCATAAAAACAATGTTAACAGCTTTGTTGTGTTCCGGCAGTTAGAGGTAAGATAGCCAGTTCCTCCGTGGTTGAGGATTCCGGGTGAAGCTTGGCTTGCTTCCACCTTCGGCCTGCGTGCAGCCATACTTATTATTATTCTGTGGTGCAGCCAACAGCGCTGCAGCGTGATCTTATACGCACGCGGACCATCCTCACGCGGGCTGAAATCCGCATGATCCGCATCACACTACAAAGGCACTCAATTTATATTTTCGTTTTTGCTAGCGTCTAATTAAAAGCTCAATTTAATTTGCAATATTCTACCACGCATGCATAGCTTGAGTAAGCAATTAATATACAAGTTTAAGGAAAAAAACACTAAAAACTATAGTAACTTGATCAGTGAAGACGGGTTTCCCGCGTTGGACAGACGCTGAGGTCATATTATGTCAAAATGACAATATAGTTGACTAAAATCGCGTTTGTTTTGTTTTAGTTAGTGATGCGTTGAACCCTCGTTAAATTCTTTGTGATAATGTTAAATCTTCACGTGGCTCTCATATTTTGCGGTAAGTTTGTTTAAGTAATTAAGTTAGTCACTTTATAATACTTTATTTTTAAACGACTCTATACTCTACTTGGGCTAAAATCTAAAAATAAATCAATGTATTTTTTGCTTTTTTCTGCCGAATTTTGTCTCAAAAATAAAATCTACGTCTAAGCATATAATAATGCTATAAAAATAGGTACATAAACAAAAACTAGCCCTGTAGGATTAAATCAAAATGTATCATAATTTAACGCGCGCAAATTCAAAGTAGGTAGATAAATTATTGCATTCACAATACTGCCTGATACTTTAAAGATTGTAAAATACTTAATGTTTTGAAGTACTTCCTTGGGCATTTAGTAAATAGCTTGGTATTAAAATTTGTGCTTTTGTTTTCCTTTTAGTATTATCAGCTCAGTACTTATTCATTTTCCTACATAATTGCAAAGTCTCTACATACATATATCTTACTAGTCCAATACTTCATTAAACTATATTTTTTCCTGTTTAGGTACATAACCAGATTTATGCAATTAAGTTTCAATTTGGATTAATTACTTTTGCTTTTATTGGGTTCACAATAAAAGTCAAAATTGCTTGTGTGTAGATTTACCTAGTACCTATTTCTATTAATTATAATTATGTCATAAGGCAGACGTATCCTGATCATAGGATCTTAAACATTTTAAAACGTACTTATTATATTAAAAATAACAGTATTTTACTCGTAAATTAAAAACCTATTTTGTCACCTGTCACCTGTTTCGCACTGGAGAGTCCAACCTTCGAACTCCTATGTTCTTCTGATTAATTTCGTTGTGGGTCCAATGACAGTTTAACTTTCCCCCGGGAC